ATTAAGGAAAGAAGTTAAGTTAGTTATTTGTAATAAATAGGTGTTATTTTTTCTAAAATATCCTTACTAATCAAGTGTATTGGCTAAGACTATTATTGTTAGAAGGATTATCTTGGAAAAAAATAGATAAATATGAGAGACAAAGTAGATTGGGTGTATATTTTAGGATCAAAATAAAAGTCAAATAAGGTATTATATTAAAAACCGGAGGTAGTAATTTAATATTCATTTTAATCTAAATATAAGATTTTCAATCTATTTTGCCTCTCATATTTATCTATTTTTTCCTAAGATAGTTTTTGTAATAGCTGCTATGTTAATGTTTCATCAAATAATAATTTTAGTTAATATACATTATTAGTAAAGATATTTTAGGAAAAAAACAACACCTATTATTACAAATAACTAATTTAACTAATTTTTTTAATCTACTTAAATTATCTAACTAACTCTTGTATTAAGAATTAGAGATAGTAATCTACAAGCTTTCAATAATATTTTAAAAAAAAGAAAAAAGGGAGACTTTGATGCGATAATGCTTAAGATAGGTCTGATAAAGGCCAAAAATGAAAAAAGAAACTATAAACAAATATAAAGGACATGCTAGAAAATTGTTTTATATGTTACAATTTTAAATTGATTTTACGTACATATAATGTATTTTTTTTAAAATGAATGAGAAAATTAACATGATTACATGTTTATACCTATGTTGGCAAAAAATGTTTTATACTTATATGTACAATTATAGTTATAAATTTATAATCATATAAATTAAGGCTAAAATATATTTTTAGTCCTTTAGGTTTATATTAGGTTTCATTTTTGTGCCTTAAGATATTAACAGAAAAAGCTGACTGACCAATTTAAGTGGTTACTGTGTAATGCTAACGAAGAAAGCTCATATTTTAATTTTTTAATATGATATTTTTATATATTAAAAGACCAAAATATAACTGATAGACCATTATGCCCTTGTCCAAAAGAATCAGCCACATATGTCTGCCCTCCGTCTTTAGTTTTTCGTATTTCTTTGTTTCCTTATCAAACAGATGACACAGAACACCATTTGGCATCCACCAACTCCAACGGTGCTTATATGAAAAACCTCCTTGTCTGGTCTATCCATTTCAGGAAAAACTCCTCTCAGATTTCTGCTTTTTTTTGCTGTAACTTGCGATTAGTTTCAAGTTTGGACTATTGATTTGAGTTTTTGCTACAATTTTCAGAAACCCTTCTTGCTGCTTGAAGTCAATGGTGATGACTGACTGATTGGGGTTTTGATGTGATTTTGAAAATCCTCTTTATAGTCACATGCATTGGGGTTGTTTTGTTTGTTTTTCTGAGCGTCCAGCGTTGCCGCGTTGGTGATGACGGCAGGGTGAACCACGGAGAGGGTGTGGGGATGGAGGAAGCTGTGGACAAGGGCAAAAGGGTCATCTCACTTTTATATAATTAAAACATAAAAAATGTTGGGAAAAAAAATAAAAGATTAAAAGTAATCATGGCTTGTGAGCATTTAATTGTACCTACTTCTCAGTTACATTTGCCCACTCAGCATTTTTTTTAGTAACATCAACAGTGTTAAGTTTTAAGGATTAAGAATACATTTTATAAACTTAAAGGACTAAATAAAATTTTATATAAATTTAAAGGATCAAAAATATATTTTAACCTGTAAATTAATTTAGTATTTGTACCAGGTGAAGCTAGATTTATATTCTTTTTAGTAAATGGACGAAATATTATTAATAAATAAAAAGATTAATAGACAAGATTCCTATTTATTACTTTTTGATCCATTTCCATTCCAGCACAAAATAGGACTATTATAATAAGGATGCATGGAATAATGTTTCTATATTTACGGCAGCATGCAAGTGAACAGTGACTGAATAATCAAGTTTGGAGATCTTCTAGAATCTTTTTTTTTTCCAATTTCTTTTTTGACCGAATATCTAGAATCCTCATTATATTTTAGAAAGTTTTAGGTAAGTTTTAAGGGATATTAGCTAAGAATTGAAGGTCTCTGTGTGAATACAAAGTGTAATTTTCTTGTCTCAATTTATCTTTCACAAAGTGTAATTCTCTTGTCTGAATTTATCTTTTTTCCTTCATTCAAAATAGAAATGAAAATCTATAGAATATCAAAAGGATATAAATTAACACCGTCAAGGTTAACTCTAATATGTAACCTTTTAAACAAAAGTACTCCTCCGGTCCTTAAATATAGGATCCAATTATTGAGTTAGTTTTGGTTCTAAATATAAGACCAATTTATCATATTTATCAATTTCTCTAAATTACCCTATAGATACTCCCTCAATCATAATTAAGTAACAGAGGAAGATGGGTATTAAGAAAGATAATTATGATATTTTAGGAAAAACATGTCATATTTCTTATAATTAACTAACTTACCTAACTTCTTTAATCTAATCAAATTAGTTAAATGGGTCTATATTAAGAACCGGAGGGGTATTAGTTGCTTCCTTATTTTCTGAAGTATCTTTTGCAATCTATTAACATTATCATTAGCATGAATGATGATTTTTGTACTAATTATTATTTTAGAAATTTAATTTAATAGGTCAGATTGAAATAAAACTAATTAAGGACTCAAGATAAACCTTTTGCCTAAGCTGTTATAATTAGAAAGTTGAAACGCGAAATGAAATATATGTTAAATTGTCTAAATTTGATTAACATGTAATATAATATACTCCTCCGGTCTAAATATAAGACTCATTTTATAGTATAAATTATACTCTAAATATAAGACCCATATTGTAGTATAATTATGCTTCAAAATGGGTTTTATATTTAGAACCAGAAGAAGTTATTTATAAATTATGAATTACACGGCCATATGGATTGCGTAGGTTGACATGAATTATGATTCATGAACTTCACCTCATGAGAAATCATAGGATGCTTTAGCTATTTTGAGGATAAAAATTTTATTTTTAATTAATAAAGGTATATAATCAAACATTTAGTGCTCCATAATATCTTGAACAGAGTTGCTTTTCATAGGAGGATATCTATGCTTATAAAAAAAGTTATATGATTGAAAAAATGTTTATCAAAATATCATATATTAATATTTAAATTATATAAATCCAATATCGTAGTATTCTAGAAAAGTGATGTGTTTGAATGATCAATAACTATAGTGAGAAAGAAGAACAGATTGTATGCCATGATAATATGGACAAAATGGGAAGTTCTGAGTCCACATTTGTGTGCTAATTTTAGTTTGAAAAAGCAGAGAGTGCCTCAAAGTCATCTAATTAAAGAAGAGCAAGCTCATGCAATGACTAAATTAAAAAGGTTAAAGCAATCTAAAATCATACTTAACCTGGCTGCTTCAATATGAATGGAATATGCTTTTAAAATCATCTTTTTTCAGAAAATTTCGCTCATCTTATCAAATTAGAACGTGTTTAGATTATTGTTAGTAAAAGTGTTTAACTGAAATTGAAAGTCATCAGTTATTATAATGTAATTCACTTTTAGATAATCTTTTATTTTAAAAAATTAGTTTGATAGAAATTGTTTGGAAGATATATTGAGAAATAAATTTTAAAATGTTCAAATTTAAAGAAAAGCCAGAAGTCAAAAATCAAAAATCAGAAAAAAGAATTACTTCAATTTTAAATCAATTATACAAAAGTCATGCCAAACAATCGTTTTTTTTTTTTTTGGGTTCCATCCAACGTGCTATTTTGTTCTAATTGGCTTTTGAAACTTTTTGACCTGGTTACCAATTAGCTATCAAAGGTAGTGGTAAAAGTTTTTGCCGTAGCAAATATATTATTATTCTTGTTTTTATGGTTAGTTGTTAGGAGTTGATACAATGTGATTTATTGATTCCACTTTATATGTTTTCATATGAATCACGCAAGGCACTACAGTGCATTTTGTCGACCATGTGATGAATAAACTGAAGCAAATTAAAGAAATTAATCAATGGTTGAGCATTATTCATATCTGAAACATTTGATTTTTTTTGTTTTGTTTGCGTGGTTCATGTTAATCTTCTGCTAGGGTGGTTCTTTGTAAAAGCGTTGAGAATTTCAGTAAAAAGTGGACACAAAATAAAAAATTATTAATAATTAAAGTGTAATAAAATAATAACATAAAATCTGAATCATATTCTAGTTTTTTTTTAAAAAAAAATTTGTGATAATTTTTTTGACATGTTGCTGACCAACCATTCCCTGTTTTACATATCTCACTCTATATATAAACAGTCATCATTACCGACTGGAATTGTAAATGGTTGAAAGATGAAAAAAAGTGGCCCTGATTTCTTTTAATATGAATTTTAGTTCCAGTTATAAAGAGTTTTTCTCATTCACAAGATTATTTGTTTATTTTATTATTTTTCAATTTCATTACATTTTATGTATCAGACATGAAAGGCAACCACTTGGAGGTCTCTGATATCATGTTAAAGATTATTGTACTGCATTCTGCTTATGCTGCACTGAATATTCAAAGATATGGAAACTCAAAGTTCCCACAAGAGGAATTATGGAAGAGAGGCACTAGAATTGCTCCACCAGGCCAATTTAATTGTTTCTCACATTTTTCCATTTCTGATTAAAAATTGTGGTAAGTCAAATCTTAAGAACCTACAACAAACTTTATAACTCAAAATGCACTTATAAAAAACTATTGAGTTGCCCGTTAACAAAGTCCCTTTTTTTTTTTGGGCCAAGAAACTAAGTCTTAATATTAACAAGGTGACTTGAACCAGTCTTGTCTAACTGGATTAGCCTGTGTTGAATTATTATCTTTCTTTGCACAGCATGGTTGGGAAAAATCAAGTTGTTCAGGGAATATGTCTAGAATCATATAAAATAAATATGTAATCAATTTTTTTATGCATGCAACTATGGAAGCAGAGCAAAAGCTGGGAAGTCAGAGCAGAGGAAAGCCTTTAAGTCAAATGAATAAGATAAACCACAAATGGCCTAAATGGGATCAAAACCGTTCACATCAACCTATTCAAGCTCTTCCCTAGTTTGAAGGATGAGTGAAACAGAGCAAAATTTATGCCGGACTAAGAGCACATAATCTATCTATCTCGTGAAGATAAGCTTTTTTGCCACTTCTCTGCATGATCTCTAGCCCATGCAGATACATGCGCTCTTGCCACATTCATTTCCTGTCATTTTCTTCCTCAGAAGGGCCTAAAGTAAATCTGTTCATGAGCTGTGTCAGTTCATTTTCAAACTCCTTCTCGAGCTCGAGCTCTTCCTGCCACAGCTTCGTCTTGAGAGCCAACTTTTTCTCTCCATGAATCTTTACCAATTTATCTCTCTCAGCCTCAAATTCCCTCATCTCATTGTCTTGGAGCCTTATGAAACTGGACAATCTCTCCACACTGTTGATTGAAGATAATGGAGGACACTAGGAATCATTAGCTAAGTTCACTAGATCAAGAATTGGATATTGTTTACCAACCAAATCAAAAGAGTGTTTGCCTATGTGACCAAACGACAAAATCCATTTTATATAATCAAAAAGAAACAATATAAATCATATACATTTTAATTGTTTTTGTTTTGCATTACGGTTATGAGCGTCTTTGAACATTGTCCAAAATAAAGTTCCTTGCAGGATGATCTTAAGGATGCATGGCTCCCTTTCATATCTCCAAAACGTTATATTCTCTGGGAGAAGCTTATATTGAACATGGGAGTTCTTACCTTTGCTTGTGGTCCTCATTCTCAGGAAAACCTCCACAACATTGTTTTACTTTTTCTCGCTTGTCCTGCTGAAATTTCTCAAAGTTATCTTCCTTTGCATCTATAGTTTGTTGAATGATCTGAATTTGTTCAAGGAAGAACTGTTCTTGTGCATCCATCTATGAGAGAATATATTATGGCCATCAGTCATATGCAATATGGATTTATTGCATCGTCATTCTGAAGGATCTACCACTAACAAATAAAAAAGAGAATTGAAATGCCACGCCCTTTTACTAACAGCACATTTGGTAAATTACTTTGAATGCTTCCATCATAATTTTTAATATATGACATGTGATGGAAATTCCTTGAAAAACCCATTCATGTGGTGATTTGTTAAAAAAGAGGAAAAATTCACTTCTGATTTTCTCGTTGATGGAACTGAAAACAAATATTTTCACAGAAAAAAAAATGATAAATACCTAAAAGCTGTAGTTAAGTTTTCTACTTCACTTAGTATTGAATAACATTAAATTCATTTTAAGTTCAGGTGCTGATAAAAAAGTAGTGGTACATCTAGAAATCTAGCTCAAGAGGAGGAAAAATAATAAACATTTGAGTCTTTAAGAAAAATACATTATGGCCTCTATAGAGAGTGTTTCCACAGAACTTTTGCTAATCTGGGGATAAAGAAATTGTAAACGTATGGCATTCCATCAGAAGAAACATCAAATCCAAAAAAATATCAAGTGAGAAACGCCCAAGAAGCGCCAAGAAACAAAAATGATAAAACCATAAACAGATTAAATGAATAGCAATACTAAGATAAGTATATACTTCTCTGGTCCTAAATATAAGACCCTTATACACACTACAAAAAAGGTCCTATATTTGGGACCAGAGGAGTAATTTAAAGGCTTCTATGAGCCAGTTCAAAAGTGTAACCGTCATGTACCAGCATAAATAGGTGCTGTGAAACATCCTGACCAATCTCTGTGTAACGCTTTGAATTATATTAGAACCACCAAAGCGTTTTCATAGACAAGACAAGCAGCATTCTATGGCCATGAGTAGTCTAATTTTAGTTGCAGAACATTATATTACCTCTTCCTTGTTCTCGTCTTGCTGTATTTTAGTACGTTGTCGTACAACACGGTTTTCTTGTAAGGTCCGGCGTAACTTTTCACTGATTTGACACAAAGAGGCTTCAAGGACTTGTGATTTGATTTGCTCTTTAGTTGCCTTTCTCTTGAAATAGTCAACCTGCTGTGCATCATTATTGATTTGCTTTATCTTGCTCTCAACCATCTCTTGGTATGACTTCATTTCAAACTTCAGTTTTGACTTCCCTAAAAAGTGTAGATTTACTAGTAACATGCATTCAAAATTTTAAAGAGGAAAGAGATCGAGAAAAAGCAATCATGGGTATAACAAGAACAATATAAAGCATCTCTATCAAATTGAAACGGTATATAGAATTTTTATGTTCATGATTATAATAAATGTCAAGATAAGATGAATGAATTGATATATAAGATAGAAAGAGACTGATTATAGGAGAGGGGGAAAAACCTGCACAGTGCCTGTTGAAAACATTTATATCTTCCATAGAAGCCAAGTAACCATATAGCTGGCGCTTTCCCCCTGGGACAAATGGATTCTGACATTGAGTCCAACCCTCCCTATCTCTTCCCTGCTCTTTAAAATGCTTATGAAGACGCACAGCTTCCAAATAACCTGCTATTGAAGGCTCAAAAATCAAAACACTCAAGCCTCGGTGCCCTTGTGGGCCGTATGAATGACGAGCCTTCAATGCAGCATACTCACTGAAGCAATCAAGAAGCTCTTGATTCCCCATTCCAATCCACTACAATTCATTTCAATAGGGTGAATTGACAGATGAGATAGCAGCGTTTTATATAATAGGACAAAAGAGCTCTTGCAGAACATTTGAAAATCGGTAACTAAACCTGGTAGCTTTATATATGATTAAAAATAGAAAGAAGTAAATTAAGACTACACGCTCCTTTTCCAATTAGCAAACAAACTGATATGCTTGTACCTTCTTGTTTTCATCCTGCTCATATCTTGTATTCATGACGACCACCATTGGGGGCCAAACTATTTCATGATCTTTGACCTGCTTATCTAGACCTTTCCACCTGCCATAGACTTCACCATCCATTGTTACTGGAGCTTTTCGACTCAGCAACTCCCCCTCCAAAGTTTCAGCAAACAGTCGGTGCAGTCTTACCCTCCTAGCTTTTATTGTCTTGGCATGTTTCATTAGGGGCTGTAGCCCTTGGTACCAATCAATGGCACCAATACCCCCTTGGCATGCAGGGCAATGCCATTCCCTTGAATGTGAATTTATATTCTCATTGGTCAGGCCACCTAAGTCATCAAAGAATGCCCTGAACCACTTGCTGTTCTTGCGTTCTTCATGGCTTTCATCATCAGCATCATCAAGACAAATATCATCATCACTATCAAACATGATATCAGAAACATTGTCACCCACTTCATCATTATTTCCATCTTCAACAGCATTGTGGGGTTCTGGGTTAGCCTGCTGGCTTTTGCCTTCAGTCTCTCCCGATTCACCATTTCCCCATTTTCCAAGCTTGTAAATTACATTTGGATGTCCCCAAACATTGGAACTAGGATTTTGAGGATAACAAGCTCTTGGACCACTATCACCAGCCAAGTTCGTGGACTGTCTTGAGTTCACCCGAGAATCACCAGTCTGTGAAAGATTCGTTTTGATTTTGGCTAGATTCTGGCTCATGTGATTGATCTTGGAACCTGAAACTCTGTAAACACTTCCCAACATTGGAAATGAATCGGTATCCTCAGCCATGATACCAGTTTCACAACCTATTCCGGGGATGCCAATACTGTTATTCAAGAGTCCGACTACCAATCAAATGATTTGATGTCATGAGAAACAAATTCCAGAGATTTCAAGATAACGTCTTTTCGTTGGTCAAAAAGAAAAACAAGAACAAATAATGCCATTTCTTTTTTTCTTTATTTTTTTTTGGTGGAAATGCCTTTTCTTTGTACCATTGTTAACATCTCTCTTTTTTTTTTTTTTTTAACCTTAACAGAAGAGCAAATTCAGAAAGGGAAAATTTCTTCAGAGAGTTCTACCACTCAAGAAATTGAGCTCTTAACTCCGGATTTTTGTTTGGTATTGTATCATTGTCTGTATCTTTCTAAGGATGAAATTGAAACCACACCAAACTTTGTGAGCATCGAAGTGATACGAACAATCTTTTGATGATCAGATTCACATTAAGACACTTTTTTTATTAATAATGTTAGAACCCCATGGTCATTTAATGCGGAAAAAGAACTTATATCTTGAGACCGCAGAACTAGAACAACGAAAAAACACGGACAGCCTCCACAATAGGAAGCAGTGGAAGATATCAGAAGAGAATTTTGTACAGGCAAGTTGAAGCGAAAACGGAAGAAAAAAATGGCGATTAATAATACTAACGCATCGATTCGAGATCATCGGCCAGCAAAGCAATGCAAAAATTGAAGCCATTTCGAAGCGTTGCATGCAATGCGATCATATATAATACGATCACTGCGAAAAGTAAGAGAGGATCAGAAAGACGAAGAATAAGAGGCTGGAAACGCAGATGTATACCTGATGACACCAACCCAATTGGTGACCACAAGCTGCGTAAGGGCAGTGAAATAGAAGAAAGGATCGTGATTGATAAACGTGAAAGATTCGAGCGTGAAATAGCTGAGCTAGAGACTATAATACACGCGCCCTCGTACCGAGCAGCTTTCTATTTTCTGCAGGTCTCAGAAGTCGGTAATTTTTCTTAATACATATAATCGATCCATTATATTCACATAAAACTGAAAATATATATAGAGAGAGAGAGAATGACTAGTTATCTATTTTCGTATTGATACAACTAAAATAGCTTATTTATGTTATAAAGTATTAAATGAATGGCAAAAAAACTGTTAAATGAGTATATTTTCTGCCTCTTTTTCCTTTTCATTTTTTTTTCCTTGTTTTCCTTTTTATATAGGATTTATTTCCTTAAATTTTTATATTATAACGTATAATATATTATCTCTGGTCTTAATTATAAGACCTTATTCATAGTTTATAAACGATATCTTATAATTAGGATCAAAGATAATAACATAATTAGTAATTGATTCAACAAATTAGCACTTACATAATAATGGTTTGAGATATGAGATTGTCCAATGTGAAGTTGATAGAGCTATCTAGCATCAGCATGTCATGACATGTCAAACACAAGCCTAATCCATGTGTTTGGACCAACTGGTAGAATAAATGTTGAATAAAATTAATTTATAGTTATGGTTTTGAGCATAAATTTGCGTGTCAAAATCAATTAATTCATGAAATAAATTATGAACTCAAAATCATAGTTATTTCATAAGCTACCAAATAATTCTAGATACATGCCTAAAACAAATATGAACTTAAATTCCTAGTTATATCATAAGTTACCAAACACTTCTATAAATGTGAAAATTAAAAAACTAACACTAATTATTAAAAAAAATAATGTTAACTGTTAATATTTTTAAAATTTTTGAGATGGTATTAAATTGAAAAATTTTTAAATAGCCAATACTTCCTCTGTTCTTTAGTAATTTCATACCCCATTATATAGACCAAAAAAATTAGTTAAAGACAACAAAAATTAAAAATTAAAAAAAAATTTCAAAATATTCTTACTTATGGGGGAGAGAGATAATATAAGAAAGAAAATAAAAATTGATATAACAAAGAGAATTATGAAAAAAAAAAGAACAATGTGATGAATAGAAATAATGGTTTAAGAAATAAAATAATAAACATATTAAGTATTAAAATAAATAATTAATAAGGATAAAATAAAAAATTTATTACTAAAATTTAAAACAATTTGTAAATATTATTTATATTCAGAAACAAGAAGAGATAATAGTTGTTGTTTATAAAAAAGAGAGAGAGAGTATTTCCAAACAATTTAATTTTATTAAAAATAAAAACACTAAAAACAAAAAACAAAACAAAACAAAAAGAGATACATGAGCGCGATGAGCAGCCTCCCTCCATGTCACGTGCCTCAATTGCGCGTGAAGCTAGGGCCCTCCGCTTAGAATATGTTTGGTACGAGGGATTTGAAAAGGACAAGAAGAAGGAAAAAGAATTTTAATTATTATTTTTTATTTGGTAACATACAAATTTTAGAAAATGAGAGAAAATTTTAAAAAAAAATTTCTTCCATCCCCCTCAAAATTAGGACTATTTGGAGAGAAAGAGTAATATTTTGTCACATTATGACCATTGTACTCATATTTTAAAATAAAATAAGGTAAAAGTATTCATGTTAAAAAAAATTTCCTTCTCTCTTTTTATGAATCAAACGAGGTAATATTAAAACTTTTTTTTTAAAATCCAAACAAGATAATAATCAATCGTTTCACTCTCCTTTCCCTTTAGCCAAACAGACCCTTAAATTGACGCTTCAACGATCCCACACCAAATTCCTTCCTTCCGTTTCGCTCTCCCCTGCTACTACACGCCTTGCACACTCTCTCTCCTCCCCTCCCTCCATTTTCGCTGATCCAATCTCACTCCCCCTTTCTCTATCCTGCATTTGTCGGCATGGATTTAGCATTTGAAAGACGAAGATCTCTCTTGCGTGGCCTATTACTTGTCTTTGTAGCTTCCGTTCTTGTTGTTACCTCCAATGCTTCAATTCACATCTACGATAAGGAGCCCTTCAAAGAAGTGGGCAATGCTTATCTTCTCTCCGGTGGCAGTGAAGGTATCGTAGCTTCTCTCAATGCTGCTCCTCCGACGGGCATGTCATCGATCAACGATGGCCATTCTTATATTCGGTAATCTCTAAATCTGGATTCCTTCCTACTCTCTGATTGTGATTTGGATTTGTCAAAATATACCCTCTTCTCTCCACAAAAGCTTAAGCTGCTAAGCGTCAAGATTGGGTGCCAAGGACTAAACTTCGAATAATTTGTCATAAAGGCTCTCACAGTATTAATAGACGGTTTTAACTCAAAATCTTTAACTGCGAAGGGGTTATGCATAATTTCATTATAATTTTGGAGGGTCGGATTGAAAACTGAAGGGTAGTATTGAACTAAAAGGATATTTCCTAAGTGGCACACTTTTGTTCGTTGCTTGACTTTGGCTTAATTATTATGGCTGGGGAAGGGAAATGGAAAACAGGGTGTTATGCAGTTTTTCCTAAAGCTTTCTTTCGTGATTTAAGTGATTCATTGTATCTAAAATTGATACACAGGTGAAGCTGCCAGGCTTGCTCCAATTTATAAAACTTTCTCTTTGCTTAATTTTGAAGGCTACAAGATGGGACTTACAAAATGAACTAAATGAAACCGATTCCTGCGCTTGAGCATAGAGATTCACGAAAAAGTAGGGACAGAAGGAAACTACTGAAATGGGTCGATGGAGGTAGTTAATGATTGAAATTTTTTTTTTGGGGGGGGGGGGGAGAGCAATTGCTTTTAAACTTATTTTGGAGACGTATTTTCCTCACATTGTTCCATAAGAAACTACACGCAGTGTTGGGGGTGGAGCTGAATAGAGGATTAGGACAAAACCCTCATACTTCTTTTATTTCATTCTGTTCTAATAATTAAGTCTGCTATAATTTACCAAGATGGGAGGTGCTATCATGCAACTTAGGTCAACTTTTTGAATCATTATGAAGAACTCAGAAAGACATGTATGTTGACAAAACTGATATTAATATATCAATAACACTGATGTAACATGTACTATTCTTGGAAACACTGCCATTGGGTTTATTTTTATTTTTTTACCTCTTTGAATTTGGCAACAAACATAAGTGGAAACACTAACTTGTTATTTTGGAAACAGATTTGAGAATATCACCTTTAGGAGAAGTAAGACTGCTGCCAAACGTATGAAGCATAGTACTGGGTTGGTACAGATTATAATTTTTGAAGCAGCTGATCGTAATGATATTGGTGGTTCTGCATATGGTGGACAACGGGCCATATGTTGCACCCCTGATTTAGCTAAGATGGAAGGCTGCAAGCAAGGGGAAGTTATCAGGAGACCTTCTGCAACAGACATTAATTGGCCTGTCATTTTAAATGTACATTTCAGTGGAAAAATCTTAACAACAAGTCTAGATTTTAATGAAGTTCCCATCACGAAGACTGGAATGTATAATTTGTTTTTTGTAGCATGCAACCCAAAGCTCAAGGACATGGTAATGAGTGGGAAGACAATCTGGAAAAACCCTGATGGGTTCTTACCTGGTAGGATGGCCCCTTTAAAGAAGTTCTATGTATTCATGACACTTGCTTACATGTGCCTTAGCCTTGCTTGGTTTCTTCAGTACGCAAGGTTTTGGGATGACATACTGCTGCTTCAGCACTGTATCTCAGCTGTCATTGCTCTTGGTTTATTTGAGATGGTTTTTTGGTATTTTGAGTATGTGAATTTCAATAATTCTGGAATGCGACCTGTTGTACTCACAACGTGGGTTGTCACCATTGGAGCCATAAGAAAAACAATATCACGGCTTCTTATTCTCATTGTTTCAATGGGCTATGGTGTTGTGCGGCCCACTCTTGGTGGCCTTACCTCAAAGGTTCTGTTACTTGGAATAACTTACTTCCTAGCATCTGAGTTACTGAATATTGCTGAATATGTGGGGACCATCAATGATGTATCAGGAAGGGCAAGGCTTCTTCTAGTCCTTCCTGATGCTTTCCTGGATGCATTTTTGATATTATGGATTTTCACATCTCTTTCAAGAACTCTGGAACAATTACAGGTACCCTTCCCTC